TTTTTTTTTAATTGACATATCTTTGTTTAACGGTCCAGTCAGCTATTCCGTTTGCCACGTCACAAAAAAACTAACGGAGTTAACGGAGACTGACGGCCGGTGACTAACGGTGAAACGAATCGTAAAGTTAGTGATGAATATGAAAGAAATGTAATTTGGGTGGCAAACGTGAAAGATTTATGTAATTTGAGTGACCAAATGTGTAATTTAGCCGGACATCAAAATTACCGAACATGGGAGGTGTCAAAAATAAAAGGTTCAACGCTGAATGAATGGTGAAGCCAGCCTCCAGATTACTTCAGAGGCAACAAAAATGTCGTTTCAATTAACTGATCTGGCAAAAAAGAAACCACCAAAAAAGAAACTGTATCCTCCCATCTTTCTTCTTCCTTCTTCTCGTACCAGAAGGCTCTCGTTTCTTATCACAACTTAAGGATCCAAAACTTCCCATTGATCAAAAAGGGAAAAAGTCGCCAGGATCGATTGCTCGATGGCCTTGTTCTTCTACATCATATTCTTCTTTATTGCGAGTAAATCTGAAACTGCATCTGGAAATGTTGAAACGCCACACAAGAGATGCCTCTCATTTCGCATGGAAAATTGAGTTCACTGACTCGTAGCTAGGGACATGTATGACTGCCAGAAGAGGTGGGGAGCATAAAAATATGAATAACATAAGTTCACTGCTAGGGGGAATAAGAGAACCACAGATGAAAGGAGATGAACTGATATTATTACCATCGCCATAAGATGCCATTGTTAGAGGTGAAGCGAGCAACTTCTGTGAAATGTCAGTTATGTCCTTCAACGTGATCTCATCCACTGCCTTCAAGAAATGATCCACTGGCTTTCTGCATGAATTACCAGATTAAAATAAATCAAAGTTGCGAAGATCTCTCAGGTTGATGAACAATGAGAGAAGAAACCATCGAATGACCAAGATATTAATTACCTTTCACCGTAAGTCAGATACTGCCTGCCAATATCTTCCGCCACAATCATCTACAACCATAACAAAATAAGGAAATCAATCTACTGCTAGTAGCTATAACTCCAGCATCCCATTCAGAATGTAGTACAGATAAGAAAGAAAGAGGCCAACCCTAGACTCAAGATTCATGAGAACTGCAGATTTTGTGGCCTCTTTAGCACGATTTAGCTGTGTCTCACTAACTGCCATCATTGAAAGACGAGATTAGGGATGGTAAGAAGACTTAATACAGCAACAACAACAACAACAAATAAAGCTTATTAGGATATACCTTGTTTAGGAGTGGCAATGGAGATTAATTCCCCTGCAGCTACATCGACTGCCTTTGCCACGAAGTCAGAAGTCTGCATAAAATAACAGAACAATTCGTCATACACACACTCATAACATCACTAAAATTACTAACTAAACCCACAAAAGGCCTTTTAGACTTACAGTGGTTGCATAAATGCCAAATAATCCAGTGTTGTTGAAGATACTGTTGAATGCGGAAAAGGACTGGAGCTGTTGATAGTTATTTAGGACACGGAGATCTAAAGTTTACAAACATAACCAAGGTATTAGAAAAAGTAAAGCATTATTTTCAAAATACGCATACGTTAGTATTCCATACTAAGATAAAAATGAACACTGCTTACACAATCGTGAGTGCATCCCTTTCCCTGGTCCCCCTGCAGAGAAGGAGCCACCTCCTCCCATAAGCATCTGCAATAGTAGCATTCTTTTATCAACTGTTGTATTGTTAACACTTAAATACCAAGAGCCCCAGGAAAGAGGAAAAAAAATGGAAGAGTACAGGAGGATTCTGAGATGATAAGATGTTTCGGGGTGAAAGGCAATATGAAGCACCTGGAGCACAGTTAGAGTAATAGCTTCTTTTTCATTATGCCAGCCTCCAGGAACTTCAAAAGCAAGAGCAACATGTGTTACCTGAGATATGAACAGTCATCCATGTAAGTGTCGTATCTAAAGAGCAATAGATAGTCTAGGAAAAGGGGAAAACTAAGAATAATCCATATGTACCGGTAAATCTGCCTGTCGACGATAATCCCCCCCGACATATACAGATTTTGGTGCTTCAGGATGTTGGACAAGTGGAAGGTCAGAGAGAAGTGGTTCAGCAACAGACAAAAGCTCCTCAAATTCAACCCCTGACGCTGCAAGGATCATTCTAGGAGCTGTGTAATTCTCCTGACAGTGCAAATAATGGAAACCCTTCAATAAAATTATATATAGAAACAATGGTCACAAAGCATACAAAGATTGGTGCTCTTACAGCTACAAATTCCTCCAAAATGTCACCATTCAGTCTGCTCAATGCTGCCTCTGGAGCTAAAAGAGGATTTGCCAATGCACCAGTGTAACCAGCAGAATGAATAGCTTCCAACAGTAAGCCTTGGGGATTGTTAGAGATTTGACTGAGTTCATCCTTCACCCTTTTCAGCTGTAATATATAACATGGATTTAATAAACAAAATACTATTTTTTAGATAACTTGTCGTAATTAACTGCGTATTCAGGAGATAGAACTTAAGCAAGTATCATCAACAATGACTTCCTGTTTCTGGCACTGAAGTAACAAAGAATGTAAGAGAGTGGCAACGTCCATTTAGATTTCTTGACAATTCTTTGATTCCATAATGGACAAGGGCTCTTCCCAGAAGTCAACAATGATAAGACAATCTAATAATGGTCCAAACAGATTTGACAAATTACTTGCAACTACAAAGGATATTCAGAAGGCTTCAGATTTTGAATTTACAACACTTGATATACAGCGGTAATTGAGCATATGGAATCGAGCTGCAATTACAAGTACGAAGCGAGATGTAAAGAACATAAAAATAAACCTACAAAAATGGAGGGGCACGAGAAATCATCAGCGCTGGGAAAAAGGATAAACCGAGAGACTCGCTGAATTTTACTAGCATATATCTGAAAAAATTACCTCCTCATTGACTTCCCAATCAATGAACACGGGATTTCTCACAGAGTCAATGAGCAATTCTACCATTTCAGGAACATAGGTCTTCAAGGCATCAAACGAGTATCCAATTTGTTCTCGTGAAGCCGAGGATGCTACAGAACCACCGATGGCCTCAACTTCTCTCACAATGCGAAAATGGCTCCTGTTTCGAGTGCTTTTGAATGCCATTCTTTCAAGCAAATGAGTGGCTCCACATGACTGGGGTGTTTCATAGATAGAACCGCAATCAATATACATCCCTATTGATGCTGCAGGACCCTATTTCAACAACCAAACAGAAGATCAGTTTTCTTTCACATGAAGAAAGAAACTGAGGCACAGAAAGAAGGCAGCAAACAAAGCATACCGGAGCTGTCTCAGAGACTATTGTCAGACCATTTGGTAGGGTTTTCGACTTAATCTTGCTGGGTTCAACATAATCTGGGAGGGATGGTGGAGAAGAAACGCCTTCAAATGGAGAATTCAGAGGAGGAAAAGAACTAGCACGTTCACCAATCAGCCAGCTGAAAATTCCTGGGGAGGATGATGTTGTAGAAGCAACTGCACTTGATGCTGCATATCGGGTTGCGCCCAGATTACCCACACGCCCCTATGCATCATGCAATATTGAGAGAAAAAAAACAGTTTTAGCCCAGAGAAATGTTTACATTTGAAGACAGCTAAAAGAAAATTATGCGCACACTTTCGATTGCTAAATATGAAGGTGACCACTCAACACTAACTACGCGAAGAACAAGTACATAAGCTATGAATCACATTATCATAGATGTCATCATTCTTAAATGTTGCTAGATTGCTAAATGAGAAGGCGAATACTCAACACTAAATAAACAAAGAGGAAGTACCTAAGCTATAGTGCTATACCTAGGCTATGACTCACATTATCATAGATGCCATCATTTTAAATGCTGCTAGTGCAATCATATGAACCGGTCAGAGATAAGAAACTTCAACCACGGGAACTCAAACTAATGGCAGTGTACATCTGGTGGATTAGGAGACCAGCGTCCTTGCCTCAAAGAAAAGAAGATGAACCCTTTTATTACCTAGTAGAACCCAATTTGACATAAGACGGTCCGTGCCAGTAATCACAGAAAAAACTTTCCACCGTTCTTATGACCCAAAAAAAAACTGTTCATACAACAAACTTAAGCCTGTTTCACTGGAAAACGACAAAAAGAACTTAGCCTATCTAACATAAACCATACGAGATGCCCCCAGAACAGGAACTGTAATCAAAACTCACAAATGGGAAAAGAAAGACGGATCTCAGGGAAATGCAATGAATTGAGGAAATAGACAGAGTGAAAAGTACTGATACATTCATTCAATGTCTCAAAGATAAACACTTTTTCCTCCTGACTAATCAAATCACTCAATAACTCAAACGAGAAATTTAGGGCAGTACTCTATTTCATTCATTCTGTTCCGAACAAACTAACCTTGAGAGCTCTGAGGCGCGAAGCAGCACTTCTGTACATATCGACCTTAATGTTATTTCCACGCAGGAATTGAGCTTTTCTCGACGATGGAGGTTGCCGCGCTCCGGTCTCGGTTTCCCGTGCGTGTGTGCGGTCGCAGGTTTGATGATTTCGGAAGGGAAAAAGGTGGCGTAGGCTGAAGTTCAGGGGAAGAACAGAAAAAAAGGATGAGAAAGAAGGTTTGTCATTGAGACTTGCGAGTTGGGCCCATATTTGGATGTTCCTTCCGAGCTGTATGCTCATTGGGCTTCCCATTTGTGGTCTTTACAGGAGACTTGTGCTCAACGATAGAAGAAGGGCCAATACTACGGTGCCGCTCTAAAAACTGCGGCACCGGTGACGCTGAATATGATTGGGCCACGTGAAGCTTATGTGGCATGGGCTGATTTGACCAAGCACAAATATTAACCGAACAACGGAGCAAGAAGTGGCCAAACCAACTCCCGTCAAACTAACGGTGTCCTCCCCCAGCCGTTTACTTGTTTTGTTTTTTCATTTATTTAACAATTTAATGGCATAAATGTCTTTAACTCTGGCTCAACGATTGAACTGGCGGCGAATTCCACAGTCCGCCGGCCGATCCAAACTCCATACCTTCACTGTATTCCTTCATCCTTCTCCGTTGATTGTGTAAAACAAAACATGAATCCCTGGTCCCAAGCGGCCCTCTTGTTGGGAATGAATAGCTTTGAAAGCTATATTGAATTAATTATCCAGTATTCTTTCTAGATACAAAAATAAGAAGGATAATTAATAACAAGAATATTATTGAGATAATTAGTATTAATTATCTTAATATAATATATTTTAATTATGGGAGTAATTATCTTCCTAATTAAAATGTGACTTATTCCCAAAGAAAGAGGGAATATTCTAGGTTTTCTGCTCCTATAAATAGCAGACCCCTGGACCCTCTAAATTCACCTTAGAGAGCAGAAACACAAGAAAGAGAGTGAGTTCATAGAGCTCCAGTTTTCGCACAAAACCGATGAGCAACAAAATAAGAATGGCTGTTTTATCCTGGAGGCGACCGGCTGATAGTCTGCCGTGCGCAACGAAGGCAGTGCCGCGAACGTCTTAAAGAGAGCGACCTAGTCCGCGACTCAGCCAGATCGGTAACCCTATTTTTCTGTTCGGTTTCTAACACCTCTGTCTTCATCGAAGAACTCTGCGGACACGGACGATCCCAAGGGAAAGGAAGTATGAATCTCCCTCCCTCTGCTGCGTCTCCCCGCTGTGCACCCTTCCTGCTGACGAAGTAGAATTCGAAGTTCCTTGGTGCCTGGAGACATTGCCTAACAAATTCGAAGGATCCTGGTAATTCAATTCGTTTGTTTTTTGAGAAACTATTGTTTGGTCTCGTTTTGGTCCCAAATTAGGTCTATTTTCCTTTTGCCCTGAGTTGTTATGTCAGGGGTTATTTGTGTTGTTGTGTTTACCAAGCATCTAGGAACTGGTTGCTCTGTCCCAGTTCTACTTCTGTGTTCTTTCTATTTTGGATATATTGGAAATAGCTACACATAAAAAGCAGCTACGTTGTCATTAGAAAATCCATAGATATCAATGAATAGAAAGATTCACTTACAGGGCATGATCTGTTCATAACCATGATTTCATTCGATGGCATCTGACCTGGTATCTAGAAGCAAGACACTACTGCACAATTGATTGAGCTGGAAACCAAGATTTTTCATGGAAGAGAATACTCTTCAACACGCAAATATTATTACTCAGCTTCCCTAGCTTCAAACATTGTTAATCAGTTTCTCTAACTTGTTGCTGTCACTCAAATTCACCCAAGATACCTAAGTTCTCAAAGCTGCTAGATTGTTAACTGAAAACCCGGTTAAGATGATAGGGAAGTTTAAACCTCTAAAAATTCAGAAGCAACAAGCCCCATAGCACGTCCTAACGCTTCATTATCTTTCTCAGAAGACTGATCGGATTCTATCCAATCTAGATTGAGCCTTTGAAGTGATGAGCAGAATCTATTTCAAGATCACTGCCTCCGATCACTGCCTCCGCTATTTCAAGAAAGTATACCGAGTCCTTCCACAGAATCTGGCAAATATAACAGAAACCATTAGTGGGTTCAACTTACTTTCCCCCTTACCATCTTCAGTTTCCATCAATTCTGTTCTTATGCAGTAAACAAATCTATTATAACAGAAACCAAATTAATTGTATGGAGTAAAGTGTATAGGAAACTTCACGAGAGCAAATCCCTCCCAAATGTGCATGAGGAAAGTGTATTTACAGTGAAGTTAAATAATCTCCAATGGTAAACATGTAATGCCCATCCTTGTCATCTTCTCTCCATGGAAGAGAGCCATTTGAAGCACATCCTTATCAAATACAGAATTATAATTGGTGGCGCAGACGCGCCAAGATGGAGCATTGGTTGCCGGCGTGGGAGCAAGCCCTGATGAAGCACACAAAAAATATGCGAACGGCCACCACCCACAGCAGCTGGAAGCGACATTGTGGGGACTAGCTTGCTGAAAACAATACCTAATCTGCTCCCTAGGAAGATGTTATGCTTTGCTGCTGATTCAGACCCAGCTGCAGGCTCCTGATGAGTTCGAAAATTTTCTCTGGCAAGCACCTACAAGAAAAAGCAAGGCGTCTGAATAACTTCAAACAAGCTTTGGTGAATCAGAAAAGAGAGTTGGCCAGGAACCAAAATTTCAGAGGAACATTACGGTATCTAGTGGCAAATCCTCCATTCTTTTTGCATTGGGAGTCAGTTTCGACGATTCCTACAGTGAGGGCAGGCGCACAGACCAATGGGGACGGCGCAGAGGGAGGGTGATCCTTCCTTTGGCTTCGGTTCGTTTTGTACGGTGGGGGCAGAGCAGCTCGACCAAGACAGAGGGCAGCTCGGAACTAGGTATTCGACGTTTTGTTTTCCAGAATCAATATAGGAGGAACACGGTAGATTTTATTGCAGGCAGAAGGTACAAACTCGAGATTGGATCGTCAGCAATGAAGTTCGCCGAACAGTTTTTTCCTATTCACAGGGAGACGGAGCGCCAGAGGAAGACGACCTATGTTTTCCTTTTTGTTCCCTGTTACTTCCCGCTCGACGAGAAAAACAAATGCATTAAAAGATTAAAACTTAAATTATTGGAAGAGAAGAAGCTAAATTGATGGGAAATGGAGGATGATGGACTCCGTCACTTCGGTTAAAATCGATTTGGGCGATATATTTCGGGCAATGGGTTTGAGCTGAGATTACATGAGTCAGCCCATGCCACATCAGGTCCATGTGGCCCAATAAAATTCAGCGTTACTGGTGCCGCACTTTTTACAGCGGCACCATAGTATTGGCCTAGAAGAAGGCCCATATCTTCGTTTTTTACATTTTCTTCTAAATAAAATAAAAATTCTTGCTTACCGATTAACGTGCTTATAAAAATATGTTGTTCTTCTCTTTCTTGCATTAGGATTTTTATTAAGATTGGATAAGATCACCAGCAGCGGTTGATGATATAACACCCACATAGTTACTGATTAACTGATCCCAACATCGGCAAGGTGCTGAAGTGAGAGTGGGGGGATCTGTAGGTTTCTATGAAAGAGATGTTCTTATCATATTATTGCTGAAAAGAAAAATCGAATTCCTACAGAATGAGAGCTCGTGTGAAACCTTTTCTTTCTGGCGTAAATGCGGTGGAACATAAAAAAAGATTACGGTTGCATAACATAAGGGTCGGAACTCGGAAGTACAATGAGTGTTACAAAAAGGCTAATGAGACTGAGTTCTCTAAAATCTTTAAATTGGTTGAAAAAAGCAGCATTGTTCTTGAATTCTTGCTTCTGAGAATCGAGAAGAGCTCAGTCACGTTATGCACGCGCAGCTGATATTGAAAGAAGAATTTCTAGTATTAGGATAATCCTTTTAATTTCAAATACAAAAATGAAAATTAAGAAGGGAAGTCAATCGATTCATATTTCTTTCTTCAATCCCCAAGGAAAATTTTTACTCTCGACTTAACCATATTTTGATGTGTGGTTATTATAGGTCAGCCCAAGAGCGAATCTTTCTCTTTCTCTTTCACTAACCTATAATAAATCTTTCCTATCATTTTGCTCTACGATCCTCCTCCACTTTCCAAAGCCAAAGGCAACGTATTCAAATTTAATTTCCTTCCATACTTCAGCGTAACAGCTGATTCAGGACTCTAATTGGTAGCCTCGCGAATAATACCCTAACGAGCAAGTATCACAACATTTCGCTCCATCCATCCTGTACATTGTCCCTTTGGTGGCGTGTTGGAATAAAAACTTATCAATAGAAGAGATTTTACGAAAAATGTGTTTTCACATTCTTAAGATAAAAAGAATATTTCTTTTCTCAATTTGAATCGGTCATGTCAGGGAATTTTAGTCTTGGACCCCCGTGTGATGGCGTAGTCAGCCGAGACCCCTGACAGAGGAAAGAGTCTGAGGAGTCCAACGTTCGACCGGGCATAAGCAATGTTGGAGATTGGTGATGTTGCCGAATTCCTTGGTTGCCCAGGTCATGAGGAGTCACTACTATCCTCGTGGTACTGTTGAAGCCATAAAACTTCTACTACGACAATGGTGAGTGCACTATATTCCGCCCCCATACTAGACCAACGCGATGTTCTACATGAGTCCACGTTAGAAGGACATCATACCAGAATCGTACAATTAGGACCTCGATATGTGTGCCTTCTCTGACCGAGATCTTTGGATATGATTCCGTATCATTCCTTTATATTGGAATGGGTGAAGAATCGCCTGAAGAAAAGGAAAATTAAGAAGCATGAGGAGAATTCTTTTCGCTTAATTCCTTGACAAAAGGTCTTCACCATTGAGAGCTGACTGGGGTTTGAACTCAAAGACGCTCAATGAAAAAGCCATAAACAACCGGTGGGGCACCCCTATCACATAAAGGGCGAATCCATCTGAGAATGCCTGGATATAGTAACCCCGGAGGATCTCCATATGCTCAAATATTCTAATTTTCTCAAAATTTTCATCCACCTGTGTTTGCTTTTGCGTTAGAAGGTTGTCAACCCGATTAGCCAGTTGGTGGGTTGAGAGTCAATGGTCAGATCCCTTTAACTAGATTTAGTCAGAATATATGAAATAATTTATTATATTTTTCATACATTTGTAAATTATATCAAATCTCATCTAACATATGGATAATAGCATATAATATTACACAAAAATAATAGTTTGTACTTGGATCTAACATATAGTAAAAATTCAAACGCACTCATTTAACATCAATATTCAAATATTCACCTTAGAATTCCAAAAATAGAGTTAGGCGAAGGGGAAACCGGAAAAGAGCCGCATTTAGCAACCAAAGGGAAAACGACACCATGTTAACTTTAACAGGGAACCTTGTTGCACGTCAACCCGTGAGTGTGTGGCGCCCATTTTTCTCACCGGGTCTTGGTCAAACTGGGTTAACCCGCCAGTCAACCTGCGAGTTGACAACCTTGTTGTGTGGTGCCTCCTCTCTTAAACATGGGGTAAATAAATAGTTACCTAACAATGTTTAAAAATCATATCGACCGGTCGGATTGAAAATACCGAATATCGAATCCAAATCGGTAGGCATGTATAGTAGTAGAAAACAATTGAACCATAGTTAAGCCACCATTTTATTACAAAATACCCTACCATTGACTTTTCTGGTATAATCTCCAGTATGTTTTTACATCCTTCTTACCTACAATCCTATTTTATACTCGCCTCGTGAGTTCTTCCGAACTGGCGCGTGGCAACTTCCAGTCCAACTAGCTAAAGGTACAACATATCAGCAACCATGGTTCAAGGAGTAAGGCGACATCTAAGTCTCTCCTAAACATACCTAGATGGAGCTAGGAAGTCAATATTAAATGAGGAAATTAACGTCAACTACGAAATCAATTTTTTATATCAATATTTTCAATAGCTCAAGAACTTCTTGAGCTATTGAGCTATGATTCTATAAATTTGTGAGCTAGTTATTGTCATTAAGTGTTGAGTAAGTTATTAATAATTTTAACCGAAGTGAGGAAGCATTGCAGATTATTATTTCTTTTATCATGCAGTGCGAATAACTATTTTTATTCTAACGCCTAGGCACGCTTAGTCTACGCCTAGGCAAGCTAGGCGCTAGGCATAGCCTCAACGTTCGCCTTACGCACAACGCATTCGCATTCTTGAACCTTATCAGCAACTCAAGCAAAGGATCTCTTCCACACTTATCTACCCGCTAGCCACGACAGACTAATGCATTTTATGTATGATTGACTAAGGTTGTTAGCGTTGCTAGTTAAACCAGATGATCTTG